AGTGGATAACTTATTAAGACTGTGCAAAAAAAAAAAAAAAGATTGCACATTCTCTGTTTAATTTTAAATAGCCTTAACATAAAACTTATTCAACTTGCCTTCTTAATCCACTAGACTTAAAGAACAGTAATATAGGAAATTCTGTAATGGGTCAATCTAGCAAGTCTTCATTCATCCTTAAGGAAGGACCCAGAAGAATTCATCTATCAAAGGTTAGTCCTTCCACCCCTATTCTGGATTCCACTTCTGAACCTCATTCTATATTAAATGTTTGTTACCTTATCTCTCACCTGGATCCATCGACTAACATTTAAATGTTTCTGTCTCCTCCATCTTAAAACACCCAACCCTGGACCCCACATCAACGTCCCTGCCCACAATCCTATTTTCCAATGTCCCCTAGCTCAGTGTCCAACAAGCCCTTCAGTGCAGCTGCTAAGAATCCTGGGAGTCTCCCCTCAGAACGAATCACCAAGTTCTTCTGTGATACTGCCTAAAATACCATCTCCAACATGTCACCTCTCTCCATGCCCAATGCTACTTACCCGAGTCCAAGCCACACTGCCCCTGTATTACAAGCATGGTTAAGAGCCTAGCACGTAACCTGGCATCCTCAGATCCACTTTCCTCCTCTCAAGTCCACTCTTCACATTGTAGCCTACATAATAGCACCTTAGGCAAATTACTAAACCCATGTTCCAGTGTTTTATATGTAAAGTCCACTTTTTCTTTTTTATAGATTGTAAAAATACTAGACAAAAGTAATTAGCAGCTGCGAAGCATAACAAATGGTAGCTATCATCAGTTTATTAATGTACAGATACTTAATAGCGATTGAACTACTTATATTAGGAGAGGATGTACTATTCAGGGACTTAAATCAAAACCTGGCATCCTCAGATCCACTTCCCTCCTCTCAAGTCCACTCTTTACATTGTAGCCTACATAATAGCACCTTAGGCAAATTACTAAACCCATGCTCCAGTATTTTATATGTAAAGTCCACTTTTTCTCTTTTACAGATTGTTGTAAAAATACTAGACAAAAGTAATTAGCAGCTGCGAAGCATAACAAATGGTAGCTATCATCAGTTTATTAATGTACAGATACTTAATAGCGATTGAACTACTTATATTAGGAGAGGATGTACTATTCAGGGACTTAAATCAAAGGACCTATAGAGTCTTATCTGGCCTCCACCAACTTTCCAGTCTTCTCTTAGACTCAACACAGCCTCACTCTTACATGAGCCTTCACAAAGCTATTATTCCCTTTGTGTGGACTATTCCCCTTGTCCCACTTGGCCAACTAACTCCTGCTCATCATTCAAGTTCTAGTTTAATCTTTAATTTCTCCAAGAAGCCTACCCTGACTCCCCGAATCCCTGGTTCCCAACCAACATCAGTTCTCCCAAACCTACTGTACTATTTCCTGGTACATCACATTAGTAATTATCTGTTCCAAGATCTTCCTTCCCACTAGGCTGAGTCCCATGGAGGGTTATGTCTATAATTCCACCAATTAGCACCATGACTGGGACAACATAGTTTTTTAATTTTTAATTTATTAATTTTTTTTGAGAGAGAAACATCCTTTAGTAATTGACTTTAATGATGTAACTGAAAAATACCCTTAAGCACTACACTCTGATAAGAAACCTGTGACTCTCAGCATGAGTTGGTAATGTTGGCATTTCTCTATCACTTTGTCCCCCTTGAGTTTCACCAACCAGAAATGGTATAACATAAAGAGTAAGGAAAATACCTTCATTTTTAAAATTTCTAATATAACTTTTCTAATATAAAAGTCCTATGTCTAGCATAACTTTTGTGCAGGTGACAAAACATCTGCCTGGAGTAGTTTGCTGCTATATCACTAAATCATATACTGAAGGAAGGAGGCTGCTCTGTTTACCATCCTGGATTATAACTAACTAGAGGCCTGATGCACAAAATTCGTGCAAGAGTAGGCCCTTGCAGCCCCAGCTTTGTCCGGAAGGTCGTCCAGACAGTCGTTCCACTGTTCGATCGATTTGCATATTACGCTTTATTATATATAGCTCAGTGACTGGGATCTTAATTTAGAATATATTTTTCGTTAAGTCATTAACATATGCTAGCTTACTCTTGCTACTACCTAATCACAGGGTGAGAAAAGATTCCCAAAGATTGTCATCTCCAAGAATTCTGCTACAACCACTTCCAGAAAAAGTTAAGATTATAGTCCTTATATCAAGCACTATAAATATCTTCACCCAGAAGAGTCTTTATACATTGTTTATCATCCTTATGCTAGTTTTTTACTGAATTTAATTATTTAAACTAATCTCCCCATTTCAGTAGGACCAGAAACACTCGGTTTTGTTCCCATTCGGTTCGTCTTGCTTTATTTCCTTAAGCATCATGTGACTCTAATTTTTTAAAACAGACCTTATATTGCATGGAAGAACTTGAACCATTAAAAAAGTCAAAGCTAAAAGTATAAATGCCTATGTAAATAAAGCTTGTTTTACAAAGCTTTATTTTTACATATAAATTGTCTTAAAGCAGGATACTTTTTCTCTGAATTTCTGCCTTGAAGTAATAATTCCCTATATATACTATACTATTCTATCACAATTCTACTGTAAAAATCAGGATATTATAAGTTAATCTTAACTTCATCCAATAGAGCAAGTATTATAACTCTGCCACTTTTAAAAAAATAAAAACCAAATGACAAAATAAATGAAAAGGCAATAAATTGAATAAATCAGAAATAAACATTCCCGGAAAAAATAGTACAATCTGGCATTTTCCCCATGTGCCTGTTTTATTAATTAGTACCTTCTACTTATTTTCAGTAATTAAAAACAAATTCTTCATTCATTCTCCTAAAAATATATCTGAGTGCTTGCTACTAGCCAGGCACAGTTACAGACTCTCTTGGTTCTCAAAGGGCTAAGAAGGGGAGAGACAGTAGAAAATATAAATTCAATCTAATGTGATAAATGCTATGATGAATAGAGGTAAAGAGGCAACTGATCCAAAGCCAGAGGGAGGCAGGTGTGGTGCTGGGAAGAAGACAAATAGAATATGCATGGGAATTAGTCGGGTAATGCACCTGCAGGGAGCTAGGAGAAGGTGCCAGGCAGTGTGGATACAAACAAGCTTAAGAGTAATCAATAATGCTTATATTACAAAAAGGCAATATCCATTCAATTTTAATTGTTACCTTTTATTATTTTACAATATATTTCAAAAATGCTGTTACAGTTGCCTTAACTGCTCTATATAAGACCTGGAAACAAAAGAACACTTAGAATTAGAACACAGGAACACCAAGCTATAACCACTTGTATTGAACCATTGCTACCAAAGGGATGTAGTTTTTTAAATAAGCGGATGTGTGGCAATGCAAAATAAAACACAAGCTTGTTAAAACAGAACAGTAAACTTTGTTTTAATGGCTATTGAAAGGAGGTGATTTTTTTCAACATGTCTGGTTCTGGCAGCAAGTTGTATTATGCATTTAAAGCAATGCATGTCCTGAAAGCTTATCTTTTCATTTGTGCGTGTCACCTGACTCAGAGCCCAGACATCTGAAAACTATCTTTCTCAGCACCCTCAATACCCCTCCCTCCAGAAGGTCACAATGTTCAAGATTCTTGTTGGTGAATCATTTTATAATAATTTTTCTCTAGTAACACTGGATGCTTTTAATTTTCTCTAAAAGAGAAGCAATGAAAATGCAAGAAACCCCTCCAGGGTCCAATTTTCACTTCACATTCTCCATGCGATAAAATAGCAGCTCTACATGTAGATGAAGAAGAATTTCACTTTCTCCCTATTAGTTTTTAATCGTATTGGCATTAAAATTTATCTGGATTTAGTTAGATTTCCAAAAGGAAAATTTTAGTTGCCAAATATTTCAGAAATGCAATAAAGCATTACATATATGTAATTAGCTCTTATCTAGAAAAAATATATATGTATACATATTTTATATTTATTTTTCTTACCTTCACTGAAGTTCTTTTTTTTCTGGCTGGACATAAGAAACAAAATCAAGTGGACCAATGCTGGCTTTATTTCTTTATAAGCATTAATTTTTGAGGTTTTTTTTCATTCAATATGACTGCAAGTTCATAATAAATTCACAAAAGGCAATACAAGAAAATACCTACTGAATAGGCACCTACCAAGCATCTCATGTGTTAAGGTTAGACTCTACCAAATGGCACTGCGGCATTATAGGCATCCAATTTTTGTTTTCTTTTTCAAGTTGTCAGCTCTTTACTATTTTGTTTTTCTAGCAGGAAATAGTGTGTAATCACAAAATAAGGCCCAGAGACCATTGACAGTTGCTCCCAATACGTATTATGGTGGATGTTAACTCTCAAGAGCTGATATAAACCAAACAGAATAGCAATCAAACTACATTTGGTCACTTTCAATCTCAATAGCACTTTGCTGATATACACGTTTCCCTCTTCTTGAATGATTGTGTATTAATCGTATTAAAATGATAACAAGATTGCAAAGTTTTTGTAGAATTGTATTTTTAGGGGACTGCTACATTCAAATGAATACATTTTAATTCACAAAATGTCATTAGTAATGACCTTTCTATAAACATGGTTGGCAAAATTTTAAAAAGGCACAAAAGGGGAGTAATGAGAAACATTTTCAACTCTCACAGAGTACCAAAACAAGTATCTTTCATGAAGAAAAACAGAGGGAAATGTTCAGTAATTCATGCACAACTTGAGCTTAATAGTTTCTCTTCAGATAGGTACTGAGACCTGAGGAGAAAATGAGTTTTCCTAATAAGGTGTTTCATGTAAAATAAAATGTAAAGCTGCACATATAACATGTTGGTTTAATTGTGGACCCATTTTTTTAAAATGTGAGGCAATTAAACAAAGGAAAACAAAACCAAAATACCTTCATAAACAAAGCAACTCCCCTTGTAGCCTCTGTCCTTTTTACCACTTAGTGGGGCAAAATGTCCAATAAAATGTAAAACGCAGCATACGCAATCATGTAATCTAAAAATTTTCCATGATAACTTATTGCAAATTGCACTTGACAGTTCACCACAACAATGGAAAACTGGCCCCTTGTTCATTCACACAGTCCTTGCACCCCAAATTGAAGTCACCAGTAAAATGATCTGGATAGAAAGTTTGCAGCTGTGCTCAGCCAGCTAGCCCCACCCTCCGGGTGGGAGCCCACCCGGGACACTGCTTTGTCCTGCTCCTTCGTGGGGCTCTCATCCTCGGGCAGGTAGTCGGGCAGTTCTGTGTTCTGTTCTACTTCCACAACCATATCCTGGAATGGGACCAGCATCTGACACAGAGAACATGTGAAGAGTTATTGCAAAATCAACATAATTGATAGACATGTATCAGAAGTGAAAGGTCAACTTTCTCTTCATTCTAATCACCACAGTATTTATTTTCAGGGGCTACAGTCCTTTGAAAATGTTTCTCTTACATGAAGGTAGACCCATTTGCTGAGCACTGTGTAAGCACAGAAAGGCAGAACTACACAGGAATAAATGTGTAACCTTTGTCTACTTCAAGATGACGGGGTTAGGAGGAAAAGGGGAAGGGAAAGAAGTATAAACTTCCAGTTACAAAATAAGTCACTGGGAGATAATGTATAGCATAGGGAATAGAGTCAATAATTTCATAATAACTATGTATGGTAACAGTTACTAGACTTATTGTGAGGATCACTTTGTAAAGTATATAAATGTTGAATCACTGTGCTATACATCTAACACTAATATAATATTGTATGTCAACTATAATTTTTTAAAAATTAAAAATAAATAAACAAGACAAAAGCAGGCTGGCAGATGTGGCTCAGTGGTTGAGCATCAACCTATGAACCAGAAGATCACAGTTCAATTCCTGGTCAGGGCACATGCTCTGGTTGGAGGTTTGATCCCCAGCAGGAGGTGTGTAGGAGGCAGCCAAACAATAATTCTCTCTCATCATTGATGTTTCTATCTCTTTCTCCCTCTCCCTTCTTCTCTGAAATCAATCCTATATAATGAAAGGGTAATATGCCAAGTGTCTGGTCGTCCATTCGTTCAACCAGTCAAAGCGTAATATGCTAATGATATGCTAAGGCCACTCAACCACTCGCTATGATGTGCACTGACCACCAGGGGGCAGATGCTCCAATCAGTAGGTTAGCTTGCTACTGGGGTCCAGCTAATCGGGATTGAGCGAGACGGACTGGACATGCCCTGAAGCCCTCCTGCAGTCCCTCCTGGCCAGCCAACCTCCCACTGGACCCGATCATGTACCAGTGGGGTCCCTTGGCCTAGCTGACTGCCAGCTTAGATCCAATCCCCCGGGGAGCGGGCCTAAACCAGCAGGTGGACATCCCCCGAGGGGCCCCAGACTGCGAGAGGGCAGAGGCCGGGCTGAGGGACCCCCCCGCCCAGTGCATAAATTTTTGTGCACTGGGCCTCTAGTAAAAATATATTTTAAAAAAAGACAAAAGCAAGCAGCTGGCCCCTGTCAGTTTTGCTCAGTGGTTAAGAGCGTTGGCCCACAGACTAAAGAATCTCAGGTTCAATTTCTGGTCAAGGGCATGTAACTGGGTTGCAGCTTTGATCCACGCCCCGGTCAGGGCTCGTGTAGGAGGCAATCAATTAATGTGTGTCTCTCTCACATTGATGTTTCTCTTTCTCTCCCCCCCTCACCCCCTTCCTCTAAAAATCAATGAAAAATATCCTTAGGTGGGGATTAACAACAACAAAAAAAGCAAGCCATCTGGCTACTGTGTGGGCCTCTGGAGAGCCACTGAACCTCCTTTCTATGGCACTTCAAATGAGCTGAAGCCATATAGATTCATTTCCCTACCACACAGCTAGTGGAAAGAGCAAGAGACAAAGCTTTTCACTATGTATATTTGCCTAAGGGTGGGACTGGAGTTTTATTTTTGGGACTGGCAAAACTAATTAAGGTTAGAAAGGTATTTAAAGACCAATGCATATTAGCATAACCAATGAACAGACA